CTTTCTGACAAGAATTGACACATAAAGACTCTTCCATGCCAAAGTCAAAACAGAGGGGGGGCACCAAGACACCTGTGACTCCTTGGAAGGAGTTCCACGCCCCAGAGGCTGAGATTCGGGGAAGTGTGCAACAAAAACTGTTTCCTGTTGATCACCAGCCAACGCTTTAGAAAAAGTGACAAAGTGAAGAAGTTTCTATGATCTGATGACACCAAAACTGAGCTTGCTGGCCATCAGACCCGATGCTATGTTTGTCAGACAAGGAACACTGCATATCGTCACAAACACACCATTCCAACTTTGAAGCATGATTGTGGCAGCATCATGATGTGGGGATACTGACTTAAAAGGGGGTGCTCATCTATGCAATCATTTGCTTTAATTTTCAATGTTAAAAAGCAATAAAAAGGGGAAACCTTCAAAAGGTGGTGAATATGGAATATCAGTACTGTCGTTAATTTACTGAATCCCTGCTGCTAAAATTGATGTCACAGCTTTGACGACTGTATTGTATATTTAAAACCTCACAATGAGTGTTTTTTATGGTTGTGTTTCTTTTAATGCCTCCCTGCAGCTCCTGCAGTTGTTCATGAATACCTGATTTCTGTTGAGCTGAACACCACAGATGTCACACTGATCGATCAACTGAGGAACGTTCTGAGGAGCATCAGTTACCCCATCAGCCTGAGCCAGCAAGTGCAACTGTCTGCTGCCAACATGGCTACAGGTGAGACCTCTGAGTCAGTCAAAGAAAACACAGTAACAGTATAAATATTCAGTCTGCTGATCGACCATTGAAAATGTAACAGTAGTTTTTTGACGTCCACTGTCATGAGTAAACATACTGAGTTTTCATTTAAAGTTGTAAAATCACTTTCTGACAATGTAGTGCAACAATCAAACAAGACGTACTTGTAAAAGATTGGGATGTTTTTCTGTGTGTTTCCAGTTTGCTCTCCGACCAGCGATGGTTTCCAGTGCAGATGTGAGGATCAGTATCGCTGGCCATGTGACCAGTGTCTGAAGTATGGATCCTGTGACAATATCACTGATGACACATGTGGATGCATCAGTACGATTCCTCCTGATGGACAGTACTGCCAGTCTGTGGATCAACACAGTAAGTCCATTTGTAGTATTTTTTTCAATTAGTCCATCGTAAGATGAAGCTCACAGTAATAACCACATACACTCTTTGTGTACCACCTGCCTTCGGCGCTGTCCAGCTGTATTCATTCAGAAAAAAATTCGTGGAAATGGGGCCATCTGCTGTTGAGAATGCATGAACACATTTAAAGTTGTCTTCTTCAAATTGCTCTCCTTTTAAATATAATTTCCAGAAAGATGTCATGAATTATACTGATCCATCTTCAGTGTGAAACATATACTGTAAGTGTTCTGGCTCTTATCTCAGCTACTCTTTTCTCTCTTCATCATTCCAGACTTTACAGCTTGCCCTCTCACAACCACAACTCCACCATCAACAAGTAAGACTGCAAGAATGTTTAACATGTGAAAACACACAAATGTAACACAGTACATATTTACAGTCATATATGTATATTTTTTCTTGGATTTCTTTCTCGACAGAAAGAAATACTGACTTTCTCTTTAGTTTTTAGACATGAAACCAAACAAGTGCTAGCTAACCAAGTAACTGATGTTTAAGGACTGAACACCTGCTGTAAAAACTCATCTACAAACTGTGGCAATTTGGTGATTTTTTTTCATGTAGTATTTTGCAGAAAAATATTAAAACCTCCTATGGAGGGATTTTACAGCTTCAGTAAATGTTACTGGTCATGATCCATAATTATACATTTTGTTTTTATTTTTATTTTATGTTAGAACAGAGAGCAACAGTACAATACCCACACCTACAACAATAGTTACCAGTGAGTGCGTAGACATACGGGCTGATCTGGGATGCAACACTGGTCTAAGAAATAATTATCAAAGACTTGAACACTGCAACATCTGAAACTATAACAAAGGAATGCCTGAATTTATAGTTCAAAGTCTCTTCTGAGTTGCAATCAAGCAGATTGTTTCAGTTTATTCAATCAAAGAGCAAACTTTCACCTCGTTAAAATGTGTAACAGTAATTATTTGTCAGTAAATTATATTCAAATATAAAATGATTGTTTCAGATTCAACAACAGTTTCAACAACAACTGTCAACACAACAGCTTCCACAGCACCAAACACAAACCTAACAAGTACGTGCTTAAGAATCCTTTTCACTGTACTTGATGTAGACTTTAATGTTTTGGGTTTTTTTAGAGTTAAATATAATATGATCTTATCTTTGTCTAAATATCAGATACCACAACTGTTCCACCAACGACAGGTGTAACAAGTAAGTGCTTTTAGATAATTGTTTAAAAGTAAAACATTTATGTCATAATGGCCTTTGCACACTGTTGCTACAGCACATGTGAACAGTTCGGCACTCGCATCTTAACCAACAACTGTATGTTATAAGGTTGTTAGAGTAAATAAAATGAATTAGGATTTATTTTAAATACACTGTAAAAAATAAAAAGTAACAAGTTTATGATTGAAATACATGTTTAGCCTTAATTTCCTTTGCTAGCATTTGCATTTTGGGGGATTTTAAAATTTATTGAAAGAAATGAGTATGAGTAAAAAACAATGCACTTCAATTTCATTTGCTTTGTATAAAGGATTTCACTTAATTTACTGCATTCTTTATTCAGATTCAACAACAGTTGCCACAACTGGTATCAACTCTACAACTGCTGCAACAACTGTAACAAGTAAGAGGTTCAAAATAATCTTTACAAAATCGTTACGGTTTCATTATTGAAATGTGTGATATGAACATATTTAAAAAGTGTTGACTCTGGGTGATTGCCTGTCACTGGATTAAAAACAAAAATCACCCCTTTCTACAAAACTCCCACATTCACCCTTAACTGTTGCTGTCAACCAGCTGTCTGATTTTATTTTCAGTTTAACGTACAATTTCAAACTTGCCTTTTCAGATTCAACAACAGCTGCCACAACAGCCATGAATACAACANACTTTCTGACAATGTAGTGCAACAATCAAACAAGACGTACTTGTAAATGATTGGGATGTTTTTCTGTGTGTTTCCAGTTTGCTCTCCGGCCAGCGATGGTTTCCAGTGCAGATGTGAGGATCAGTATCGCTGGCCATGTGACCAGTGTCTGAAGTTTGGATCCTGTGACAATATCACTGATGACACATGTGGATGCATCAGTACGATTCCTCCTGATGGACAGTACTGCCAGTCTGTGGATCAACACAGTAAGTTCATTTGTAGTGATTATTCCAGAAGATGAATCTTACTGTTAAAAAGCTTTAGGCAGCACATTCTGGGAGTAAAACAGACAAGTGAAGACAGGACACACTTTAATATGATGTCACACTGGAGGAAAAAAAAAATCATGAATAAAAAAGCATCAATCAAGTGAGTAATTAAAATAGAAGAAACACAATCAGGAGCTCCAATTCTGAGTCTGTTAATGGTGTCAGAACTGGGGGCTTCTGCTGTTTATTGATGAATTAACTTTTAGGATTATTTGAATGCCTTTCTGGCCTAAATTTTTGTAAGGTGACAGCGTGTGGTACTATTTCAGCACACGTTTCTTTCTGATGATTATGCCTCTTTGACAGCCAAAAACAAGTTTTTAAGAAGTGGTAAAACTGACTTGGTTTCAGCAACTTTTTAACCACGACATTGACTGTCTGTTTTTTGTTTACTGTCCCTTCTGGCTTTGGTTGAGCTTGAGTGAGAAACAACCTTTTGGAAACACTGCCATCTGCTGTTGAGAACACATTAATACATTTAAGTCTCCTTCACATGGGAAATGGCTTCTATTTTTTCAAATGAGATTCCCAGAAAGATACAGAAAGTTATATTGAGGCTAATTCAGTGTGTACACACATACTGTAAGGGTTTTGACTATTGTCTTAGAAGTGTCAGCGTCCACAACTGTATCAATTCAGCAGCTGCTCTTCTTTCTCTTCATCAATGCAGGCTTTACATCGTGTCATCTTACAACAACAACTCCACCATCAACAAGTAAGACTGAAAGAAAGTATTTAGTATGTGAAAACACAAACGCATACAATATAAAATAAACAAATACAATAAAAAATATATTTTTTTAAAGTTTAAAAAACAAAGAAAATCTGGCACCAACAGTGCCAGATACCAGAACACAACACTGACCACTGTTAAGAAAGACGTACCTCAAATACAATACGCTGTAAGAAACTACTGTGAAAATACTGCAAAATTCTAAAATCTCTGTAAGAAAAGAAGTGTAACAAATAACTACTGAAAATTAGCTGTTCTTGATACACCTTATATATGGTAAAATATTTAAAACTTTACAATGATTGTTGTTAAAAAAAACTATGTCATCAGTCCATAATACATGCTTATACATTTTATTTTCAGACACAACTCCAAATATGACGACAGTGAGCAACACTACAACACCCACACCGACAACAATAGCTACAACACGTAAGTCTGACAAGGCAGCACTTAATCCATAAACAGCATGAAATGACTTGTTAAGATTCCTGCTTTTGAAACACCAACATGTTTCTCATCCCATGTTTCTTTTAATGCCTCCCTGCAGCTCCTGCAGTTGTTCGTGAATACCTGATTTCTGTTGAGCTGAACACCACAGATGTCACACTGATCGATCAANTTGTGTCTGTCAGTGCATTTAATGATAGTTATCTGACACACTGGTCCTTTAAATATGCAGTATGTTTCAGTTAAAGTTACTTATAACACTTATAAAATGCTCTTGGTCAACAGCTGCTCCTACAACACATTTAAAGATGAGTACTTCCAACATTTCAGCCACAACCATATCTACTCGTACATTTTTAACATAAGAGGTGGCATTAAATGTAGTTTCTTTTGCAACAACACATTTGTGAAATGTTCTTCACCTGAAACATTTGACTGTACACATTTTTCTTTTTCCAGATTCAACAACAGCTGCAACGACAATTGTAACAAGTAAGAGGTTCAAAATAAATCATTTTTCTTTGTCATAACTTAGCAGTTATTGGTTCAAATGTAGTTATTGTAGGTAATTAGCTGTTGGTCGGTCTTTGCAGAATTAAATCCATTTCTACACTTGTCACAACTTCACAACCACTGTTCAGATGTTGTGTCTGACTTTATTCTAAAATTGTCTTTTCAGATTCAACAACAGTTGCTACAACAAATGCAAATACAACAGTTATTACAACCCCAACAACACCTGTAACAAGTAAGTGCTTAAATTTTATTGCTATGTGTGTATATATATATATGAAATAAAGTAGTTGCTGTGGGTGTTTTACTGTTTTTACTGATTTTAACACCAATTTCTGCAACACGCTCACAGCTTTGTCCACAACCATTTAAATCTCCTGTCAGATTACATTTTTCAGTGTAACATCTACAATTCTATTTTTATTTATTTATTTTACAGATTCAACAACAGCTGCTACAACAGCCATGAATACAACAACAGTTATTACAACCCCAACAACAACTGTAACAAGTATGTGCTGAAATACAGCAAATAAATTATACAGATGTTAATAGTAATTGACCTGAGTTTAAATGCTTTTATTGTGGCAGTAATACACAAAGATCAAATGGTTCTTACTGACTCAACAACAGTTTT